AAAAGTCGATCACTGCCGTCTGTTGGTCACTGTTTGTCATTGAAATCCTTTTCAAGATGATCATATTAGTTCTTATTTCCCTCGAAAAATCAGTAGTTACACAGGAAGGCAGCACTGTGAAGATCATTTTGTGACATTTAATGGATTTTTAAAAATTTCTGAATGAAAACATAATGACAATTAATTCACAACGGTGGTTCTTCCCCACTGTTTCCACCTTGTGTATTGATGATGCTATTCCTTCTGAAATCTTGACCCTCTTGAAAGGGGTGGACAAAACAACCTTCACACCAACCCTGGACCCCAAAATGACTGCTATCGGCAAATCCTGTTTTACGTCAACATCAGTCAGAAATAACAACCGTAACATACGTTCCCTGTTTCAAAAAGATATTTCAACAATCCCACACATTATTACCTACTGGTCTGGTTTTGTTGATAATCTACACTGGGGAAAAATCTGGTCTCTCCCATACAAATACCTTCTGACTAATAAAGTAAGGGAAATCTCTTTTAAAAATGATACACAAATACTATCTCACCAAGCATTATCTTCTTAGGTTCAAGAAAGACATCTCTGTTGATTGTTCATTTTGTGGAATGTACCCTGAAACAATGGTTCACTTGTTCATGATACACAAATACTATCTCACCAAGCATTATCTTCTTAGGTTCAAGAAAGACATCTCTGTTGATTGTTCATTTTGTGGAATGTACCCTGAAACAATGGTTCACTTGTTCTGGCAATGCCCGTATACCAACACATTTTGGAAAGCTGTATCCAGATTTATTATTGATCGTATCGACTCTGACTTTATGCTATACTGGAAAAATGTACTATTTGGGTTCTACGAAAGTAAGGAAAAAAATACTAAACAAACCTTCATTATAAATTGAATAATTATTCTCGCCAAGTTGCATATCCACAAATCCAGATGGAGTAATTTAAAACCTCTTTTCTTAATTTTTAAAACAGAAATAAAGCAGTACCTAAGTTCTATTATGGATTCTAAAAACAAGAAAGCTATTAAAACTCTGGCTATATGCTCCTTATTTGAAATTTTTGTTTAAAATCCCCTGGCTTCTTTTTTGTTTAAATGTTTGTAATATGTGTATGTATTAATAACATGTTCATTTTGTTTTCTGTTTATTGAGAATTGTATTATAACTTGTTCGAATAAAGATTCTATAAAAAATAATATATTTCCGCTGGTTGCTAAGAGACCGAACCTTGTGCCTTTCCTTCTTGTTCGGACGTACAGTGGGTGGAAGGTTCGCATTATGAATTTGACATTGTTACAACAGAAAGGCCAGGCTTTGTTTATAATGAAAAAGAGGAGGAGTGGACGAGAAGCTTATGCTCAAATGCATGCTAGGTTAATTGATCACTCTAAATTGTCCTTAGGTGTGATTGTGAGTTTGATGGTTGGTGGTCTCTGTGTGCCATGCGATTGGCTAGCAATCAGTTCAGGGTGTCCCCCACGTACTGCCCGAAGACAGCTGAGATGGGCTCCAGCATTGTGAGGACAAGCGGATCAGAAAATGGATGGAATAAAGTTGTTTATTTCATTAATAAAATCATTTTCATGCTCATTTTACAATTGTATTAATAACCAACCCAATAATATTTGATTTCCCAAATGTCTATTTTTGTAATAAAAAAAAATTATTACATTATTTGATGAGATAAATGTAAACACACACACACACACACACACACACATTTTAGCAAAGCAATTTTAGGGGAAAATGCTCAAATTAATGCAACTTAAAATAATGCTGGGCAGAATGTCCGGGGCGTGTGTGGAATGCTGCTTGTGTGTAAACAGTACAATAATGGGTTGCACTGTGCGCATGTCGTGTAAACCGAGGGTGTGTCTTTGACAAGTATGTCCTGCCAGTGAACGAGACTGTATATTACTAGGCTGTTTTACAATATCAATGTATGGTCATTTACATGTGTGTATGTTTACAAATGTCATCAAGATTCACTGCTACTTTGTGGCCTCTTCTGTCAGTCAGCCTGCTCACTACTGTGCGAGTTGGCACTCTCTCACGCACACACATAAACACTAAGGAGGCACTGCTGTTGAAACAGGTTTCAACAGTTTGGTTCGCATGTGTCGCGCCGGTTTCATAGGCAAGTGCAACTCTATTTCTCATTAAATGTGCCGCAGCAGTGTATAGTACCGTTCATTGTAGCCATTTAACATTAATGAGAGCCGGCGCAACAATGCACATTAGCCCACAGACCTCTATGGTGCTATTTTTGTATGTGATTTCATTGCTCGTTTGTCCACCATTGTTTCTGGGGAAAAAAAACATTAACCCCACCAGGAACTTAAGGAGAATTGGCCACTGGCGCTAGATATTTGTTTGGGCACTGGCGCTAGGTATTTGTTTTGAGTGCCTGAACTGACAGCCAGACCAGCGTAACGAATCTTCCATCCATCCATCCATTTTCTGATCCGCTTATCCTCACAAGGGTCGCGGGGCGCGCTGGAGCAGGTACACCCTGAACTGGTTGCCAGCCAGTCGCAGCCTAACAAGTCTGTATCTCTCCAGTGCGGGTACATCGAGGGAGCTGACAGCTCGCATGAAATCACTATCCGGTTATACAAACACGTCAGTCTATGCACCTTTTATCAGATTCATTTCTTGAGGCTTTTATTTTGGTGAGTATTGATTAGATCAGTTGAAAAGCAACCAACGCAAAGTGTGTTTTTAAGGCGGTTCTTGGACGAGACTGTTCTATAATTAGTCAAGTACCCGGATGACATGAATATACGGAAATGAACAAAGATCTCACACTGAAAATGACAAATGGGCGATGTACTGTTTCACAGCTTGCTTGCACAGAGCACGAAGCTTTTGTGAATCTATGTTGAGTTGAGTGTATTTCCTTTCTCAGTATGGCAGCCCAATGCCACCCCAAGGAATGCCTGGAGGGCCAATGGGGAGACCACTGCCCAATCACATGGGTGGACCAATGCTTGGCCCAATGGGAGGCGCACCGCCCCAGGTTGGTGGATATGCCCCCTATGGAGGAGGCTATCCGGGCACATATGGCGCTTTGACCCCAGCTGCCAATGACCCAATGTGGGGTTACTTCACAGCCATTGCTGGCCAGGTATTAAATTCTTTCCCCTTGGACAAAAAAAAAAAAATCTTCCCTCAACAGTGTCATTTAACCAGCTGATACATGTACAATTGTGTCTGATCACGTGTGTACAGGACGGTGAGGTGGATGCAATGGAGTTGCAGAGGTGTTTAACTCAGTCTGGCTTCACCGGAACCTACAGCCGTGAGTGGCCTTCCCTACGTCCACCCTCAAACTGTGCAAAGTTGTGCTTGTTTGTACAAATGGTGTTTCGTTCATGTTGCAGCATTTAGCCTGGAGACGTGCAGAATCATGATTGCGATGCTCGATGTATCCTTTTGTGGAATCGCAGTGGTAATGGCATTGTACGCGTCCATCAGAAGCTATTGAACCTTCACCGCGCCATCACCAGAGGGATTTCACAGGCAAGATGGGCTTCAGTGAGTTCAAGGAGCTGTTTGTGGCGCTCAACGGCTGGAAGCAGAACTTCACAATGTTTGACCGAGACAGGAGTGGTACTGTTGAGCACCATGAGCTGACCCAGGCAATCAGCTCTATGGGTGAGAGACCGATGATGCTTTGGAATCCGACCAAAAGCCACAATACTTAATAGGAATGTAACAAAGCATGATTTGAATGGCAAAATAAGTTTAGACTTAAAGATGCGAATGCAGCAAATCATTCCACTTTAAGACATTTCGAGATATATATCGAATTGTCATTTATTGATGAGAGCTATCTCTGAAGGTAATGCCACATTTGCAGTACTGACAAGTTAATTCATATTTTTGTAAAATGGGAAGAATAAACACATCGCAACAAACCCTCTTGAACTGAGTCGTGTCGAATCACATCATAATCCCACTCAATCGAACCAAATCCAGTTGTTTCACGTTAAAATTGACCGTCCATAATTTATTTCTATTCTTTTATTATTATTTTTATTATTCAACCAGGATACCGCATCAGTCCTCAGGCTCTAAACGCCATCATCAAGCGCTACAACAAAGGCGGTCGCATCTACTTTGACGACTACGTGGCCTGCTGCGTCAAGCTCCGTGCCCTCACAGGTACCCCACTCGCAATATGAGAGGCAGCAAATTGAAGCTCGACACGTTTCCATTCACATGTATTCCTACTGCAGATCATTTTAAGAGGAGAGATACCATGCATCAAGGCTCTGTGCACTTCGGCTACGATGATGTAAGTCACCGTACCTCTGACATCTGTCTGAATGCTGCCTTCTAAATCACTGGGGTTCCTAATCGTCTGCCCTTTAAAGTGTCTTGTGAAACGCTAAAACACTTCACAGATTAAGCTTGATCTTTTGATCACTTGATGACTAGTGTGTTGGAGGAGGGAAACATCTAAAATAAGGATTGTGGCCGTCGTGGACTGGAGTTTGACGCCCATATCTCAAATGGCATTAAAAGCAATAAATACGATGTCCAGCAGCATTTAACACCATTGCTAAGCTGTTGGTTCATAATTAGCACCGAGTTAGGTTGCCACTGCTCTCAAATGGGGTCTGTATGGGCATGCCCAGACATCTTCTGAAAGCTTGACTGTATGCCCGGCATGTCAGTTGGAGTGACTCCAAATCACTTGCTCTTTTGATGTGAGATGTCTGTTATTCAGCAACTCCTGAAGATAGCTTGCATAACATCAGTGGTGTTATTTTGCCTCTTTATTAGGAAAACCCCATCACTATTAACTGATAAAGGCATCTCTAACACCATTTAGCAACAATAAATATGAAGAAAAAACAAACGCTGTATATATACACACAGTGAAGCAAATGGGCAGGAGTCCACGAGTTCCTTCATGTTCCAATGAATTGCCTCGAAAGTTAAAAAGAAAAATGTACTGTTCCTGTCACAAACGTCCAACTTGAATCGCTATTGCCACAGAGTGGCAGAAAAAATACCTGTGACTCAATGTTTTGCTCTCCTTTTTTGTCTGGTATGTTAATAACTTAAAAACAAACATTATAATTTAGAATGAAATTATTGTATCAATGAGTGAAAATATACACCCATATTTGTATTAGGTAAACATACGTTTTTGTCAATTAACAAAAGTCTGAAAAACTTGAAAGGTTGTATTGTACAATTAGAACTGATATAAAATTTGCGATTAGTTGGGAGTTAACTTTAAAAATCATGTAATTTAATTCTGATTAAAAATTCTAATCACAGCCATCCATATGTATGTATGTGCACGTGTGTGTGAATATGGGGGAGGACATTTACTTTGCTTTAAGTTGCATTAAAAATTGCATTTAAAAAGTAATACATTAGAAGCAGAATGGTCGAGCCTGCAGATCAGGTTGTCACACGAGTGTCTGCATCATGCTGTTAAGCCAGTGACGTTAGAAACACAACACAAATAAAGCACCTTTCTTTTACATTCTACTTTGTAATTTGGAAATGCCATAAAATCATGTTTTTGAATTCGACAGTACTGGATGGATAAGAAAAACAACAAATATCTATATTATTTTGGCATACTCTGTCACCCATTTTATTTTTAAGCAGCTTGTTTTGACCAGTTTCCTTTGTCAATGGGTACTCTGATAATTGTCATTGCTCTTATTATTCTTTTTGTTGTTGCGTTGGAACAGTTTACAAAAGCCTGTGTGTTCTCTTTGGGCAGTTCATCCTGTGCACAATGGCCATATAGGGAGGTGCTGGTGGGCGGAGCTCTGAGTCCCAAATCTCTTGGGGATCCAATCAGGGATTGTCCAAAGACCAATCACTGTACAACAATATCAATCGTGGCCAGTCGGGTCTCTGGAGGGGTTACAGACAAGTGACTTTGTTGCCTGTAAAGCTTGCTATAACATTTAGAATGTATTTTCTGATTGATGCACACATACTCATATCATTTAAATGTATAAAGCCAAAGGATAGTAATAGTTTGAATAAGAGATTCTGTGACACCTGTGCCATTTAATACCTGCATATATGAATGGGTTATATGCAATGTGTATTTTTTTTCTAGTCTCCAAAAGAGAGAGCGCACATAACTGAAGTCGGAGAGATGATATTTTCTTACTCAGACTGTTTTTTCAATCTTGTGTGCTTTGTGTTGATTGTCTTTGTACAATGGTGTATTTTTCCAAGCGCATTTACACGTGTGTTCAATTTCATTAAAGGACATAAGAACATAGCTGTGAAAAGTGTTGCCTTGTATCACATTCTGGCAAAAAAAAAAAAACAACCAGCATTAGATTAAAAACGTGCCATTTAAATTATCCAGTACAGCATTTTTTTAGAACTTGCAAACAGTTGCACATTCTAGATGACTGATGAGTTCTGGCAAATCTTGTGACGTTCAAAAGTGTACCAAAAAAGGAATCCATGAATGGAGCCGCAAGCAGAAATGCCCTCTTTATCTCAAACACTTGTCACCATCCACTGAGCTTGGATAATGATCAGCAGATTGTAACCGGAACAGACACTGGAAGAGTTACAGAAAGACTAATTCCTTTGGTTTTGACGACGTTCAGGTTTCCGATCAAATGATGAATATCAGACAAAAGTTCAGAATGCGTTAAGCAACTCAGGGCAGGGCAGCTTTTATTTGAAGCGACTACAAGATGGCACCTTAGTTGGCAGCCATGTGCAAGAGCTCTGTTTTTTTTGTTTTTGTCTTTTGTTTTGGCGTATGGTGGGGCAAAATGAATTATGTAGTAAAAAAAACAAAAACAACCCACACTTTGTCTCGCAATTTATCCAAAACGTTCATCCAAACTGATCATGAGAAGCTTCATCACATAAGATAGTGACCCAAAACATACGCACGCACACACACACACACACACACACACACACACACACACACACACACTGAAGAAAGCAACCGTCTGGCAGAGTCAAAAGGGCGCAGGCTTGATGGAGTTAATGCAAGTAAGAGTGTTGTGCCACCAAATATTTAATGTGACTTCAAGTTAAAGTTATTTCAATAATATCTGTTACTTTTGCTCACTTGGAAAATGGGTGGCTTGAAACAAAAGCTGCTCTGTCCTAAGTCGTTCAACACATCTTGATGTAGCGCAACTACCATGAAATAAAATTTGGAATTCTGAGCTTTTGTGTGATATTCTGATGGGAAACCCAAATCAACAAAAACAAATGAATTGACCTTGCTGTTCCAAGTCTTTTGGTGTGGACTGACAAGAAACTCCTCCTTGAGTTTCCACTTTGTGTCCACTTGAAGCTGTGGTGGAAAACACATCAACCTCACAAAGTGAACTGCGGATTTGACCGGCAAGGAGTTTCCCATCATGTCCACTGTGATGACGACAAACAGCAAAGTAAATTGGACTTTGCTAGTCCATACATAACTGCTGTGGGAATTGATAACATGCGTCAGAATCCCAAAATACTCCCCACCTCAAAAAAAAAAAAAAAACATGCACATCTCATGTCACTGACAGTGTTGTACTTGAAATACATTGAAGCAAATTACCTTCAAATAAGTTCCATATCTAGTGCAGTGATTCTAACCAGTGTGCCGCGTTATCCAGTGTTAGTAATCCGGACGAAAACGTATATTCTATTAAAAAAAAAAAAAAAAGTTTCATTTATCTCGGCAACCCCCAATAGTAACAGAGAGAACAGAATGCCCCTTCTCTAGGTGGCAGAAGGTACATAATTAACCTGTGTATCCAGTTTTTGTGAATCGTTTTGCTAAGTGATTGTGCTGTGACATATTTTCCGATGGGAAATATGTGCCTTGGCTCGATAAAGTTTGGGAAACACTGACCTATAGTGTATGAAGGACTTCCAAGTTACAAGTAAAGGATATTCTGTAAAGGAATTGAAGTGGTCTTTTTTGTTCCTTTGCATATTCAAATTCTTTGACCCTGAGTCAAACTTAAAAGAAAAAGTCCTCGGAGGGCAACTTTCAAAGAAGCCGCGGCCGTGGAGTCCCGCTGGTACTGAGCTGCTGGTGACATTGGGCAGCGCAGGGCTGCAATGCTGGCACTGGCGTCATTCAACAGAGGACACGTTTTCCCCACCGCTACCGTCCAGCTATGCTCACACCTGGATGTGTCTTTGTCCGGCGCAGGAAGTGGGGAGCTTGCTTCCAGTCAGACCTCTTCTGGGCTCTGAAAAACAGCAAGAACCAAAGTCAGAGGAAGTACAAGAGGTGAATTGTGCTGTGGTTCTCAAGTTAGGGATGACTAAACCACGAATGTTCAATTACATTAGGTTCAGTTTCTTTCTATTCAACGGCTCATGAAAATAATGGTTGACAAAATAATGTATGTCCTTCCTGCGGCATTTAGGAGTAAATATGGTGGTTACAAAAGGTTTACACACCCCTGTTCGAACGTCAAGATTTTGCCCAAAATGATCCCAAGGGTTCATCGTTACAAAACGTTGCATTCTATAACCTGTCCTATTCATTTGAATGAAAACAAGATATTTTCCAGAGGGAACGTAAAACTAAAATGAGATACCGGTAACTTGTTTGCATAAGTGTGCACACCCTCTTATAACCTTGAAAAATGTCAGGAAAAGCCTACTCGAATATGTGAACTTTATTTTAGGTTACTGTAATCAGTGACTCTTGTGCAGCTATCTAAGTTTTTAATCTTTACTTCCCATCTCAAATTGTATTTTATTTTTCAATTGAGTTGTGTGTACAACGTATATACACTGCCCTCCATAATTATTGGCACCACTGGTTGAGATGTGTTCTTTTGCTAAAAAATACTTTTTTTGCCTAAATAATGTAGAACCTTTTTTTTTTTCCAAGAGAAGAAAATTCAACATTTAATTCAAAAGGAAGTGGGGAAAAAAGGGCTCCCGGGACCCATACAGCATGAGAATGCTTGTCTTGTCTACCAGTGGTGGATGTGGAGTAGGATTGAGTCTGGGCATCGTCTGGGTGTGTGACTCTGGCGACACCCTGATGGTCAGTCGCTGGTGCGCCGGACTGGACGGTGCTGTAGGCAGGCGGGAAGGCAGAAGTTTGCCTTTGGAGGAGCTGGAGGACGGCTTGTATGTCGGCCGTCATCTGGGACTCCAGCCTGTAGTCCAAAGAGCACAAAGTGGCACAGAACTGGAGATGCACGGTCATAGAGGACCACGTTGTATAACACCGGGCATCGTAGACCTTCGTTTCCTTCTCACACCTGTTGAGGTGCTGTTGCAACCTGTCCAGCCGCTGCTCCACTTCGACATAGGTCAGGTCAGTATCGGTGTCATCCTCTCTAAGTGGTGTCGCCTGACCCCAAGGTGGCTCATTGCCCTCAACAAGGTGGCCCGCATGTGTCCAATGGTCTTCCAGAAGCTCTGTTGGGAACAGTCACTGTCACCATGGTAACGGTCAACTTGATGTTGACCTTGTTGCAGCGGAACCTCTTTAGGACAAGATGTGCTGTCATGGGATGTTTGTGTACACAAGATCGCAGGAATTACGCATGAACAGACCCACAAACAGGTAAGGTAAAAAATAAAATAAAAATGAGAAACCCTCAAAACGTTTTGGCATTGTATAAGCATATAGAGGGCTCCGTCCTTTTAGCAATTACCCACAATGCACTACCAGCGGCCATATTGGAGGGCTGTTATAAACAAGCCATACACAAATTCGTGGCTGCTGGTAGTGCATTGTGGGTAATTGCTAAAAGGACGGAGCCCTCTATAGGCTCTGTTTGCACTGATTGCTATGATGATTATTTGAAAATATCTTCATCTTTTTACTGTCAGTGCCTCAAGCATTTATTACAGTACTTTCTTCATTTGGGTATATTTTTAGAGTGACTTAAGGTTTTTACACCAGGTACCACCTATAGTAAAATACTTAGCTCTCCAATTTTTTTTTTGTTTTCGATTTTATTCCTCAAGTTTTACCATTACGATGCATCAGGTGTCGTCCTCTCTCACCTTTTGCATGCAAGTGTGCGCCATGCCCCGAAGCGGTGAGCCCACCGGCAGAGCAGCGCTGCTCCGAGGACACATCGCAGGCCAGTGCACTGGAACACCACGGCTTCTCTTTCTCTTCCTCCTCCTTCTTCTCTACCTCCTTGCGCTTATCTGCTTCCTCGGCTGCGGAACAGGAGGCGGAGGTGCAGGTGATTTGTTCCGGTGTGGAGTGGCAGAATGTTGGCACACGTTCCTTTTGTGGAGGGCCTCGAATAAATCATAGGAATCGTGAATTTGTCAAATCATCAAAACTACAATTTAAGGAGAGTCAAGACAAGAGGTTCACGCTGGTTGATGAAATGAGATCCGGTGAATTGAGGTTTTCGATCAGATCACTTTGTTTATTTGAAATGGATGTGCTGGTTTGACCCACTGAGCAAACTGACACGGTGATTAAAACTAAATAAACAACAAAAGAAAAAGAAACAGTCTGAACATACCAGCGGAAGACGTCCTCATGTATGACATTTTCCTCCTTCCAGTCATTCGAGGCTCCACGCAGGAATTGTCGTCTTGCGGGAAGGGTGCCTGTCAAAAGGAGATACAAATGACGTTGATAAAGAGCTGAGAGAGGTGAGACATGTGTTACAATGTTGGTCTCTGTTGCTTTGAGAAGACAAAATAACAATGACAGAATGGAACAAATGTCTTGCTTTTCATGTCATACTCTTAAAACACATTGGTCAACATGATGTGATTGCCCCAAGATTCAATTACAATCATAGGGTTGGGGTTTCAAATTAGGGTTTCAGATTAGGGTTAGAGTTTCAAACCTGAGTTAAGAATTTTAAAATTGGGTTTGTGTTGTGGGTTTCAAACTAAGGTTATGGTTTCAAACTAGGGTTAGGGTTTTGAATTAGCCTCAGGGTTGCAAATAAGGGTTAGGGTTTCAAATTAGCGTTTCAGACTAGGGTTAGAGTTTCAAATTAGGGTTTTAAACTATTATTACGTTTTCAAACTAGCATTATTATTTTAAACTCCGGTTTCAAAATCGGGCTTTTGAAAGAGGGTTAGAATTTCAAACTGCAGGTATGGTCTGAAACTAGGGTTGGGATATAAAACTAGGGTTAGTGTTTCAAACTAGGGTCTGGCTTTTGAAATTGGGTTAGGATCTCAAACTACGCTTATGGTTTCAAACTAGGGTTAGGGTTTCAAATTTGAGTTTCACACTACGGTTAGGGCTTTGATTTAGGTTATGGTTTCAAACTAAGGTTAGGGTTTCAAACTAAGGCTATGGTTTGAAACTGGGGTTAGGGCTTCGAACCAGAGTTATGGTTTCAAACTAGGGTTTCGGACAAGGGTTAGGATTTGAAAGTAGGGTTTCAAACAACTGTTTGGGTGTCAATCTAGGGTTATGGTTTCAAACTAAGATTTCAAATCAGGGTTTCAAATTCGGGTTAGAATTAGAAATTACGGTTCCAAATTAGGGTTTTAAACTAGGCTTGTCGCATCTCGCACTTTCTTTGTGAAGAGTACCCATACCTTGGCATTCTCATCACAGAGGTCAAAGGTCAGCTCCAGGTTTGTCATGAAATGGTCAGCAAATTCTGGATACATGTCCAGCACCTCCAAAAGCTCCCCCCGCTGGATGGTGTGCAATTCGCAATAGCTTAGCACCCGAACATCGGCGCAGGATTTTCCCGGCTTGGCGTATGGGTGGATCATTTCACCAAAGATATCGCTCTTGCCTGCGGGCAAGATGCGCATCTGATCAGGAATTTGGTCACATGTCAATCACGAGAGCATCTTTGTAATCACGACAAGGGGATTTCAATCTCACACTTCCACATTTGTGTGAAATTGGGTCTGTCAAGCCAAAACAGCACTGGCTCCCCAAATCGTCTTTTTGCAGTAAAATATGTCAAAGCGTTCTAAGTTCACACTTGAGGAAGATGGCTTCAGATTTCTTGAGAGCAAAGACATCCTGGAATAATTGGATTGATGACTTGATGAGAAACACCTAGCATTGAGGCTTTGGGGCTGAATTGAAAATTGGAAAAAATTAAAATAAATTACACAAATCAATAATTTTTTTTGCTGACTCGTGCATCGCTTACAAATACTTCAGACAACTACATAAAAATGGATGATGGAAAATCTGTTAACTTCAGCACTGTAAGCACTTTCATTGCCATTTTCAGCAAATTTCACCTTTAAGATGACAGTCTCAAAAGGCTTCATGTAAAAAAGCTTAACGTCCATCGTGTGACTGTCCTGTTGTCTAGTAATGTTAGAATGAACACTCCGACTTATGAACGATTTGAGTTATTTTCTGAGTGACTATGTGTACAGTTAGAGGTTGTTTTTATTGTGTCCTCCAAATTTGTGTTTGGCTTTGTACCTGTATTAATGCCTGTCAAGTAAAGTCCAACATGGGAAGTGTCTATCTGCTCTGGGTCCATTAAAAAAAAAAAAAAAAAAAAAAACAATGAAAAAAGCCAGTGTTGGAACACGACGTCCCTGGTATTTTTGGTGTTGCTTTTGAAGCGGGAAAAAAAGATCTTTTAAAAGGCTCATACTTAGGCTTTTCATTCTAGACTGCATTGACGCGGTGGGCGGAGCCTAAACCAGAAAAGAGTGAGCTGCATTATCTCAAGAGAACGTGATGTAACAGCGCTTGCTTTCAGCAAAGAGCCCATTGAGCCGCTCTGAGACTTTGTTCATCTATCCATGCCACTGACATACAGTGACAGGCAGAAGAATGAAACGCTCTTCCACTAGATAACAGAAGGTACCACTCATACAACAGCAGGTGCTGAGCGACAAACTGGAAGACAGATGTGGAAAAAACAAAGCAGAGTGGTTGAGAATCACTACTGTAGACGTAATGTACAGTACATACAATGTGGTCCAAATTCTCTTTGGTTTTAAAAGTTCAAGTTTGATGGTTTCAGACTCACCCAAGATGGCTACGACGACATCCTCTTTGAGGATCTCAATGGAGCCACGTGTGATAAAATATAGCATGCTGAGCACGTCTCCGCCATGGACCAATGTGTCCCCAGGGGGTGCGTGTGTGGTCTTGAACCTCATGGCCAGGGCTCGCAGGCAACCTTTCGTGGCGCCGCGGAAGGCTTTACAGCCGTGTAGGAGGTTCTTGTTGAGGTGAAGGCAGATGTCTGCCTGGAGGCATTCTGGGAAACCCTTCAGGACCTAAGAGCAGAAATGTTTGTGATGAGAGCGAGTGCAGGATTGGGATCCTCTTGTCAACGTTGCGGAAACAGTTCAAGACATAACTCTGATGACTGAGAGACTGGAAACTCTATTTGATTGCATTTCCTAACACTTTGGCCAAATTACTCTTTAAACAACTAGAAATAAAAGTATATTTCTGTGTGAGCTTTGTGAGGATTACCTTTTGAAGGGATTGCTTTTTATTATAACGCTGAGTCAAGTGGACTCATTAAAAGAATGAATTTACAGTATTATTGCTCCTGTCATGACTGTATTATATTCTTTACATACTGGCTGAAGCACCAAACAGAAATACTTGGGGATTTTATAGCTCATAGCATAATGCTAATATAATATTTCTACACAGATGCCAAACTCTAAAACCTTGAGCTAGAACCGGACACAGCTACAGAAGAAATTTCACAAATCTCATGTAACTTACCCCCCACCCAAATATTGGCAAAAAGCTGAAATAATTAACTTGTATTACAATTAAGCATCCTCAAACCAGAGTGATACTAATATGCTGTTTTAACAGTAAAGCTAAAAGCAACGCAGTGGAATATTATATGAACAGTAGCAGCATTAAATAGTAAATGGGCTTTCACTCGTAAGGCACTTTTCTACCTTTGAGGTACTCAAAGCGCTTGGCCAACGTCTCCTTGTTTTACCGACTGATGACACGGCATCAGGAGCAACTGGGGCTTCAACATTGTGCTCAAGGACACTTGGACATTGTCACAAGGGTTGAGGATGGAAGCTGCAACCTTTGGGTTGGGAGATGACCACTCCACCACCTGAGCCATGCTGCCCCAACTAACAATGAACAAATCATACACAGTACCTCCTGCTCTTACCGGGGTGGTCCATTCCATTTGGCATGAGGCAGACATGAAAAAGACAAACTTTAATAAGTACTATTAACAGTATTGCGATGGGCAGCACTTAGTGAGAGAGAAAAAATGCAGTTAGAGACAAACTGTAAGGAGTTAGTATGGTCGTGCATCAGTTAGCCACATTAGCCTGCTAGCATCGGCCAAAAGCCGTTCGCGGCACTTATGAGCACATCAGGGCATGTCGTTGGCTATTTGCATACTGCAGAGTCACCTAACATTGTAATGATCATTGCAAAGTTATTGTGGGAGAGTGTGGAATTTTTGAGCGTTTCATCACATGTGAATATTTTTTTTTTCATGGCCACTAGATGGTGTAAATTGACTAGCAAAGTAAATATTCATCCAGGATGTCACAGCCAGCTCATCTGTGTCCCTGAACAAGTAGCAGACAATGAATGAATGAATACAGCATTGTTTCAGGTATCATTCGGACAGACTGGAGGGCATCAGCATTTGACAACATCGGATTTGCAGTTTATAAGCATACCTTACCCAAAAATCACCAAGTGACATTGAAATAGCATTGTAAAATTGGAACTCAGCATCAACAAAAGCTTGTTTCCCCGCATGCTTTGCAGAGTGAGAAAGCTTTACCCATATAGCTGTTCAAAGGCATCTATGAGAAGATTATGATGTTCAACAACTTGAAACATAAATTGTACTAAGCGTTGAAGCAGTGTGACAGCCCTTAGGTTTCTCAAACTCGCGCTGAAATGTAGCCGAGGACAGAAAAACATAGCAACAGGCAGTAATTTATCAGCTGCAATGTCAATTGGCGAGCCATGAACATCGGTCCAAGTGATACCTTAAACTAAATTAAACAAAAGGAAGCGTAAAGTGATTTTGGGGAAACTTTTTTTTTTTTCTTACATCTTTGAAGAGTGTCCCTTTAGGTTGACTAAAACTTTTAAAATGTGCTGCTCTCATACCATATTCATGTCGATGCCATTGGTGTACGTCCAGGCGTGCTGAAAATACTCCTCGAGCCGCTGCCTAAGTGGGTTTGGGATCTGGTGAAAGCGGATAAATTCTTTGACGCGAAGCATCTGAAGGTGGTAACGGGCCGTACTGGAATACAACCTCTGGATGATGGCGGATACATTCCCAAAGATGCTGGCATACATTAGCGCTGAAAAACAAAAACAATGTCAAATGAAATGACGCTTTTTAAACAAACGATACTTGCTGTAGTTCAGAGGTGGGAAATTTACAAAATGTCGTCGGTCCATCATTTGTCATTCATCAGCAGCCTGCGCACGCATCTGTTATCAGTCCGTCCTTTTTTTTTTTTTTTCAAGCTGAACCAAACTAATCAGCAGCCCATCATGTTATTTTGACCACACTTCCATCATTGCTTCCGTCAGTTACAAAAAAAATAAATAAAACATCATAGTCAGATGAAAGTTTCAATTACATCAAAATGGTGAATGGAATGCACAATGTATCAGTGTATTTACATCATATTGTGTCTGCCTGAAGAGCTTTACACTTGCATATATTTCGCATACGCTATTTTCCAATCTATTGAACTTTTAAATACAGAGGGAGCACGCTGGTGGCTGCCTGCCTCTGTTTTTCTCTTAAAACGCCCAAAGGTTTCACTTTACAGTTTGGCTTACCTTAATCAGAATTCCGTGTCACATTGTTCCCAAAGTTACAATCCTGGTAGATTAATGTGCCTCGTAAATACTGAAGGAAACCGAAACCAAGTTGCTGTGACTAAAGTTGCTTTTTCTTTTCCTTCTCCTTTTGTCTTGTCATGTACTTAATACATGATTGTAATGCATGCTCGATTATCTCTTTGGTGCATACCGCCACCTGCGATACAGGAAGCATAAAGCATTTCCATGTATAGTCAATGCAGTGCACTCAAGTACACACCGGCACGAACAAGCAAACACGAGACAGGCTGGGTGTGTTTTCCTCAGTCATCAGCAAAACGGGCATCCGTCAGTGACGGACTGAGAGGTCTGTCAGTACTTGACATGGTTAGTGATGAATGCACTGATGGACGAAGACCCACTAGCGTTAGTGCTTTTTTTTAAAGTTTGTCGTCATTTATTAACAAAATGGGGGTCCATCAGTGATGGACCGAAGCGCCTTCCAACTGTACTGACGGAGGCCCTCCTCTGCAGTAGCTGATGCTTAACTTTGGTTCATGCACAAAGCATTTCATTGCTTTTTGGACGACTTGCCATTCCCTAACAAGGAAATGAATGGCCAAATTCACAACTGGTATTTGATCCTTGATTGGCCCAATAGAAATCCTGGTTCAATTAGAATTCTGTATTTAAACAGTCCTCTCTATCATGTCATTTACAGTTTGACACATTTTGACATCGTGAGACCGAGACAAAGCATCAACAGTACCTTGTTATTGCAAGGGTTCAAACACAAAGTGGCAACTGATCTTAGACTGTCAGAGTGTCATCAGCAGAAATGTATGGCAGAAAATATTTTTTGATACAAATATTACCAAAAATTGTGAATTAAGACCCCCTGTTCTCCAATAACACATCACACATAATGTTTATGATAGTGGAAGCTCATGAGAGAATTCCTATGAAGCCACTCACATCCAATGAGCATGACACAAATGGAAAAGATCTTCTCTGAGTTGGTGTTGGGGGAGACATTGCCAAAGCCCACGCTGGTCAAACTGCTGAAGGTGAAGTACAGCGCAGTGACATACTTGTCTTTGATGGACGGCCCTGAATCTGGGTCACTGTAGTTATACTTTTTCCCTAGGATGAAAAAAAACATCGTATGATATAGTGTCAAATGTTTCATGAAATAAAACGAACAAGAGAGTCACCTATGGACAAGCCCAGGTTGTCTAGCCAGCCAATTTTGTGCTCCAAATAAGGCTTCTCCACATTGCCGATAGCATACCAGATGCAGGCCAGCCAATGAGCGATTAGGGCAAAGATACACATCAGCAGTATTAGCACAGCGGCGCCGTACTCGGAGTAGCGGTCCAGCTTGCGGGCGACGCGTACCAGACGCAGGAGGCGGGCCGTTTTCAGCAGACCAATTAGGGTGGTGGTCTGCAAAGCAACACAAGGACAGCGTCAACGACTCAAAACAATTTCAAATTACAAGAAAAATAATTCATGACCTTATCTGGTTGCGTTTTCTTTTTTTTCTGTATCCTCAGCAATTTACTGGAAAACCCTGCTATTTCCATCATGTTCTAAGATGTCGCTCTATGTGACAACTGACTCGTTTTCACCATTTTTTGTCAGGCCGTTTTTATGTGGGGTCTGTTTTGCACTCCTCTCAGAAAAGTGAGCTCTGGCTTGTGAAAAATGTTTCCCACATCCAGTTTTAGAGATGATGTACAGTGGAATTTCCTCTTTCTCCTCATTTTTAATTTGATGATTTTCATGCAGTATTTTGATGTTTGTCGTACACATGGCGGGATAACTCATCTTTGAACACCCAAAAAGTGTTGCTAATTTGCTGGAATATTGATATTGAACTATCCCAACCAATTTTAAGGGTAACCTTGTCTGGTTCCAAGATCACGAAAATTATTTTTTTTTAATGATTTTTTTTTTTTTTTTAATCTGGTGAAATTTTAGTCACTGATGTTAACATGAACTTTTTTTCTATCCCAACTTCAGAATGCTTCTTGGAGCTTATTCTGAGACCATTTTCATTCTCCCTGGGTGAAGTCATCTTCGCCTGAGCGCTAAAAAATTATTTTATAACATTATTTTAAATCCAAACCAATGACGTGTATGCATTAGTTGGGTGGCTTTTATTTTGAAGGTGGCCAACGACGCTCGCTGGGCGGCAAATTACCGTCATGCAGAGTATTAACAATCGCTGTGGCCGCTGGCTGGACTACAACTTTGCAGGCGGAGGCTGTCCAAACCGCAGTCATAATTAGCATCTCACCTCATCAGATCCCGATCCAAAGATGAGCAAGTCAAAGGGGATGGCGGCCACCATGTCGATGAGGAACCAGCCTTTAAAGTAGTGGATGGCTATCTTGCCTGGGTGGCTAACCACCTCCTCGTTGCTGTTAACATAGGTGGTCCGGAAGTTTATGAGGATGTCTACGATGAACATGATGTCCACCATCAAGTCCACCACATTGAGGGGCGAACAGGAGTAGCCGCACTCCCGTCTCCTCTGCTCTTCGATATCGTTGAGGAGGAAGGCGGCTGAGTAAGGTGTTAAAATGGCCGTGTAGATGACCAAGAGCAGGATGAGCCAGTCCCACACTGCTTTGAAAGGGCTGTAGTGAAGGATGGTGCATTTGTCCATGCGCTGAGTTTGGAGTTTGTACTCAGGCAGCACATCGGCACCCAGTGACAGAACCTGGAGAGGGTGATGCATGATTACCACCCTTTTTGACAATCAGCATTTTAGTTTGAAGCGTAGATTCCATTTTTTTTTTTCATCAGAGCACGAAGCGAGCGCGCTTCAGTCTGTTTTTCAAGACTGTACACCAGTGAAGCCAGAATTAGGAGGTCACTCATAAGAGTAGAAAATTAACATAACATATGGCGGCACTGAAGACAAACTATTACAGCGAATCTTGAACTAAAGTAGGAATAAACTTATGTAATACTTACCTGTGTAACCTTATCCGTGACATTGTGCGTGCGGTCTTTGACCTTGGGTGCAATCACGGTTTTGTCAGAAGATGGGGGCGAGGGGCACCTCTTCTCAACGTTCGTCTCGGAGAAGTTTAGCGTGATGAGGGGAATCCTGTTGATTGTGCTGTACTTGTTGAGGTTGGAGTCGGAGGTGGAGCAGAGCAGACTTGATCTGATCTGAATGAGAGGCCCTGAAGGAATAAACCAAAGCGGGCACATCAGAGGACAGGCCAGCGTTCATCTGTGATTAGAATGACACTGGGAGTGACGAATGAAGCGACTTCAATCACATCATGATGCAGACGATACAACATCTGTCACTCTGCGCCAACCGTCAAGGTTGGACAGCTTTGACATTGTCCTTGGCTACAGCTTCAGCCCTCTTGTGGTGGATTGTTTAACACGGGTACAGCTACGCATCGTGAAAAAAATAAAACTGATGAGAGCGGCAGAAGCTGGTCACAAGCAATGTACGGGATTATGTACGTATACAGTCCGGTGGTACTGAGACAACCCAATTTAATTTAGTTTTGAGTCACAAGGTGTCACATCATTTTATTTATTTATTTTTTTGGGGGGTTGTAAGTTAAGGTACCACTGTAATGTGTTCAAACGTCTCCACAATATTCAGCACGCCACCTCCACACTGACATGAGTGACCAAACGAGAACTCCGGCTGACACAGAACCGCCCCACATTGCCACTCATCACGCTTCTGCTGCCGCCAAGGCCACACAATGTCAGCATTGACGATACGGGACAGAGGAACAGACAGTTGAGGATGAAATATGCAAGCACAGCTTCTATCCACTGTGAGGACAAATGCTTTGGAAGGAAAAACAGCTCAAGCCATACCACCAGACATCCAAGTGGGGGGCTCTAGAAATAAAGGGGGTGGGGTAGTGGCCATCTCATTACCATTTCGCTTAAGTTACATATTTATATTACACTCATCATAAACAGCGTACTGATCTAGTGAGGCCCAACAAAGTACTATACAGTTCAGAATTTTTTTTTATTTAAACATACAACCCAATAATATGCCAACATTTTTAAAGATTGCTTGCACAAGATGACATGACAGACTTATCCAAAGTCAAATAAAGGAAATGTTTCTTTTTCCATCATCAACCACTCACACTGACAAGTGACCGCAATTTGACCAAATCTCATGTATTTACTTGAACACAAGCTCATCCAAAGATTTGTTTTCATTCAGTGCAACGCATGCAGGAAGCATGCGTTAATTGTGAACTGTATGCGTGTTAACCAAAAGATGTGTGAGAAATTCGATGAAATGAAGACGCAGGAAGCTTCCCTTTGTTACCTTTGATATTGCGGCCATTGTCTGTGATGGCAGCATTTAATATTGGAGAAGGTGGAGAGGGGACAAGAAGAGGAGGTGAAGTGAGAAAGGGTGGAGCTTCTTTTCTTCCGTGTATGCAAAGTGGATCTGGCATCAACGCACCATCACTGCGCCAGTGAGCAACATTCATTACTCTCTAGTCATCATAATTGTGTTGGACCCTGATGTTATGGTAATTAATTTAATTGTTTTGGAGCCAAGTTTAATAGAGTTAAGGAAAACTAAAAAAAAAAAAAAAAAAACAAGCAAAAATAAATAAATAAAAACTAAAACAGAAAAAAAGCATTAACAAGATCAAAACTTTCAAAAAATGAAATAACTGAAACTTCATCTTACATTCATAAAACTAACTATGAATTATGAAAGTGTCCTTCATTTCATTTTTGTAAAGTGCTATCATACCTGAGCTTTTGGGGCTCATTTTAAATGTACTCATTAAATGAGTACATTTAATGAGTACATTTAATGAATGCTGAAATGAGTCTCATTTCAGCATTGCTGTACATCCGTAGCTGCACATTGAAGGTCCATTGTTTAAGAGTTGTACTTTATTACTCAATGATGAGCTTTTTTTATTTATATTATAGATATTTTCCATATATTTGTTGCGCTGGTACAGTCGTACATGTCGAGTCCTACCTTCGCTGGCGTGCCGATCCCTGAAGGCCATCCTGGAGTTAGGTCTAAAACCTTCAACGTCATAGAGGGAAGAGGCTCTACGAATACTGCATACGCTCTCTCTGGATGCAGTTGGAGTGAGGCCTGGGATGGATGTAGCAGCAATAATTTTGGCCCCCTGTATCCTATCATGTATCTGGACAGAAGCCTCATCTGGGTATACTCTGTCCCAAGGACTTTTGGGCGACGAGTGATCCAACGGGCCAGAAACAGGTGTGGAACAAAAGCTTGGAACGATAAGGGTATTTGTGTCATTGGGCTTTGGATGACGCCAGCTCTCCCGGATATTTGCCACTTGCTCGTTGCACATTGTTAGTGAGTCATCACTGTGGCAAGGAGATTCCACCATCACGTTGTCGGGGTCTTCCTGAGGCAGAGACTGCTTGCTGATGCCCAGAAGCGGTAAAACTGGCAAACGGAAATGGAAGAATCTCCTTTTCCCTGAAGGAGAGGTAGACCACAGTAAATGGTTATAGTAATGCAGTATTAGGAAGGGGGGCTGGGAGCTGTGCCGTGAGTAACTGATGCACCCATTAAATATTTATAATTTGCTGCATTAATATTGTGAAGTGTCTAATGAGCCAGTGGAGCCGGAATTAGCCTATTGAAGCTGTGGCTGCATGAGGGTATGAAAAGAGAAAAAGTCATGGTCAACTCTCAACTCAACTCAACTGTATTTATAGAGCACTTTCAAACAGCCATTGCTGCATACAAAGTGGAGCAACTAACATATATACAACAATAAAGCAATCATCAGTAACAAAGTTGGTAGTAGGCACCAAACAGTAAAATTAAGATCAAATCTGAGTCATGCCGAGTCAAATGATGCCACCGCCATGCCCTGACCTCAACCCTATTGAGAACAAATTCAGCATCCCTAATAAGAACTTATATGAGGGTGGATGGCAGTACACCTCCAAACAGCAACTCTGTGAGATAATTGTTCCATCCCAAAAATTTCAATGACGAGAGAGTTGTCGAGGAGACACTCCTACGTTTTTGTAATTTGGTTTTAATAGTTTACCTCGTTAACCCTGAAGTCTTTATGCGTTTTCACTTACGTTGGTCGGCTTTGGAAGGGGAGGCGCGGTCTAACTTCTCCACAGAGTCACTGCTGCTCTTGTCCAGAATGTAATCAAAGTTGAGAATGAACATCATGACCGCACCCTCTTCATTCTTCACTGGGATGATGTGTGTGGCACAGAGGAACTTGGACCCTTGACCCAAAAGAGATTGAATCATTGTTGAAAGTGAAAATAAGCAATCGTCCATTCCATCCGTCATTAGCTTGTCATATGACAACACTAAAGAAAAGTATACTTCTCTTGACTGTAAAGATGTGAATTTTATGAAACTGCTTACATTTACTAGCCCCTTAATAACTCAACAGTTTTAAATGTTGAAACCAGGCAACAAAAGTAATGATAACCTTGAATGAAAATATCCACATGGGAATCCTAAACAATGTACAAAAATTTGAGGGATGTACCAAGATTCTCTCTCTATCTCTCGATCATGATAGCCGACAACAGCGCATGGAGGCAACCCCAAGCGATAAAATGATGAGATGCAGAATAATATCAATCAGTTGCAGTTTCTTTTGTCCACAACAGGACTTTGAAATCTAGGTTAAAAAAAAGGGCTGCACATGCTTTGCACATGTGCTAATGTGCACTGTATATATGTTGAAGAGGATGCTCTTCAACATGACGATACAACGCAATTGTGTTTGGCTCGATGTGACCTCCATGAAAGTGCGTCATAACCAAATGTGCGTTCCAGGGGAGAACCCCTGCTCTATTTACCAACACAGTACGTTTTTTTTTGTTTGTTTGTTTGTTTCAAACCTGCTTCAGTGGGAGGCTCATATCTAATGCCAATATTTTCATATCGTCGGAATTTCCATGTATGACTCATTAATGCTGAGGAACTTCTACAATGTCTCTCCAATTGTAAAATGGACATTTCTAGGAGATGCTCACAGTCAAATCAGGCTGCAAGTCTACTGTCAAGAGGAGGCTATTTATAGCTCACTCTACCTCAACTCGTACAGCAGCTCTTTTCCAGAGGAACTTAACATTCTCTCCACACATTCACTAGAATGCCGAAATGGCCCGTATATCATTTTTTCACCACACTTCTAGAATACATTTTCTGAAAAGAAAAATCCTTTTGTGCAGCAAGACAACAAATCAAGTGCTTCAGCTGACTTTAGGGTAGCAAGGGGTCGGTTTATGCTCTGGGGAGCCTCGATTCTGCTGGGCTAAGCAGAATGGCACTACTAATCGTACATCACTATCACCAGGAGAGGAAGGAGACATTAATAAGTCACGTGCTGATATGAAGATGGAGCGAGTTGATTGTGCCTATATAAGTCCCTATTGATTCTGCCCGATTATAAAAAAAAAAAAATAATAATAATAATAATAATAATAATGGTGTCTATGGTTTGTATCTTTTCTCCATTGGTTGCTATATTACAACAGCACCTCATGGTAAAGTGATCAGTTTGATTTTTACATTGAACCACCTTTGCGTGGGTTTTCTCCAAGATATTCTAGTTTCCTCCCACACGCCCAGGAGTCCAAATCTGATTTATCTATAGTGCCCGTACATTAAAAAAACAAGAAATCTGTCCTTGGTAGTTGGTGCCAATCTGGTACGATTGCAATAAAGATGATAATAGGATAGGTTGTTTTGAAGGTGGCTCAACATGTACATGGACAACAATGTACAAAGTACAGTCAGTCATTAAAGGCATGAAAAGCGTGCAACGGTGCAGTAATACTGCAAACAGAAGTCTCCAAATTAGGCAAAGTGAGAGCTGCTATAATTGAACATACTAACAATGACACTACACAGATGTCGGAAATAATGAGTGCTTCCTGATTGCAAAACACGCAGAAATCCAGCTCGTGAGGAAGGTACTCATGAATATGCCGCTACAATTAAATGGCTGTGGTTTGTAAACATTCCCCCAAACGACTCCATTTAATACTGCATTCATAAAAATGTTACTAATTAAGACTTGCTCAGAGGGATAATTTTATGCAGCAAGACAGAAGATTTGAAATGTCACATCCTAATGCGGAATAGCGGCTATAATACATTCCACGCGATAAATTATTGAGGAAATAAGGACTCTTGAGTGTGTCATCCAGTTTCAGTTTCATTTGATTTCATTTCCACGATCAATAATTAAGACAGTGCAGCTCGGCGTGCATTTGCAAGCAGGCCAAAGTGCAAGGCACACATCCCCATATCGATGTGCTGTTCGACATCAAGGCTCGACTTTGCAAACTTGAAATGGCTTTTTTTAGAATAGCAGTGGCTTCCTCTGCGATGTGTCATCCGATGACATTCAGTGTTGTTCACTTGTCGCAGATTTGTCAAGATTTGCGTAAATCATCAACCACCACAGTCAAGGATTAGGAGCGTTCTTCTTCACCTCGTTCAGCATTCTGGACTCCGATTAACGCAAGGAGACGCCATTAGCCAATTCGGTTCACTTACTTTTTACACCCTGCACTGCTAATTTTTACAAACATAAAAACAGAATTGTTTGGGCGATATTAATTTAGTCAGAATGTCTTTGTTGTGGCTTTGATGGACACAGCCTGACATTTCATGACCACTGCATACAGTGCCGTTTTTTTTTCAACTTTAATTTGTCATTGACGTAACCTGAATGTACTGCCATCATTTTAGGCGGTTATCAACATCAAAGGCAGGTCACACTGTATACATGTGTTTTGTTCGTGTCGCATTGCAACTGCATGTGTAAAGCGATAATACACCAAAGAGCTAATCCGTCCTGATACAGGATTTATATGTGGCACATGCTTGACATTCCTCAGATATACAGGAGTTATCAAGTGCTCCAGTGCGTACAAGACAGGCAACACTTATAACCATAAGACAAGTACTTGGCCCTTGAAATACTTCTCATAGCCTTTGACAAAAAAGTGTCCCGCTATAGGAATAATTTGACATGTGATTCAATATTTCTATATATATTTTAAAGAGACAGTCTATGAGTGTCTGGTTCATGCTTTGACCTCAGCTTCACTTACTGTCAGAGATTTTCTCGGACAAAGTGAAAGAAATGACTCGGCACACAGGAAAATTGTCTTCAATATCGGCGGGAGCAGATCTCTGAGAGCGAACGACGGTAGTTGCTCCGATGATCACACACTCGAGCTCCCTTCCCGCCAATTCCGACTTTTATTGTAACATACAAGGAAAACACTGCCCCCGACATTTGCATACCGCACCCCCGGTCCGGCCCCTCGGTAGTGATTGGTTACCTGAGTTTAAGCTTTGAACCACCGGTACATTGGCGCCTTTCTGTCTGGTCTACACTGTATCAACATGTTGCAGACTTCGTGGACGACAAATGTCGCCTGGGCGCGACGGGTGTTCTCAACTCGTCTTTTGTTGTTCAACCGCTGTTCCGAAATTATTCATTCCCCTTTTGTGACCGAGTGTCGCCCTCTCCCCTGTGATTGCCCACCTGCATTGACGTGCTAATTGTGGACTTCAACAGCCCTCCGGCCAGGTGGCCGGCGCCTTTGTGCACAGGCATTTGGGGGTGCTAGATACGCACCCAAACGTTTAGATGTGCCCAAATTAAATGAAACTTTAAACATGATACAATTTTGCTCATAGATTCCTCTAACACTTACTCATTAAAAAAAATAAAAAATATCCGCAATGTCACCTCCATTATGTGTCAGTAGCATGTACCTCATCCCACAATGGGAATATTCTGGATTTTCCACGAGTCAATTGATGGATAACTGTATAAATTCAAAATTAACTGTATAAATGTTCCCCGTGAATAGAAAAAACAAGCGAAAGAGGCTGCTGAGAGGCTATCAATTAGACAAATGGAATCTGCTCTCAACGATTCTATTGGGAGCCATCAACTCAAAGAGGGCACAGGTAGGCAGGGTAAATGTCTTAGCTGGAATCATGAAACATGATAGAATGTTCCATGAACAGATTATAATATCCGTTGTGGGGGTGTAATCAATCTCCCTTCTTGTCGACATTGCTCACGAATACCTCAAGGGATGGAAGGTGGCCTGTGTGAGCTCCTCATCAAGGGGCGAATGAAGACCCAAAGAGGGATGCGGCGGTACTTGTTGGGTTGCATAGTCGGACACAGTACTCATGGGAGCTGTGTCACGTAATGGCAGTGTGTGTGGGTTTCACTTTATAGATACAATTTTAAAATAACCTACATGTGTCCACTGGAACTATAACAACAAATCATTGCCCCAAAAAATGGATGATTCCAAACGTTATGGTTAAAGTTGTTCATTTCAATCATGCTGGAAATTGAATACGGTTTCCGAAGCAAAACCTATCGGGCAAAGTTCCTGTCCCGTATCTAACAATGCCACATGAGGGTTTTGTTCAGCATGTTATCTACACAGCTGACACGAGTTCACTGAAGAAGAGACAACTTGTCGATTTGGTGGAACAACAGGCTGTATTTTGTCACCTGTGCTTTTTTTTCACTGGCCATGATAAAGGAAGCATAGAAAATTATGGTCGAGATGTGGGTATCCCACGGAATAATTATAAGAGGCTAACAGATTTGGGTTTTGCTGACAACGTGACATTGCTAGGGAATAGCATCACAGACCTACAATGACAATCCTACTTCAAGAATCCAAAGCAAAAGATGGACTCCGAATTGGTAGAGATAACACCAACGTAAAGCAAAGTGGCAGGAAAAGCCACAAACTGAGCCAAGTGGATTTCAAAGCTTAATTAGTAGAAGAAGTCAAACAGTGTAGGTATTTGCGTGTTCATTTCCCATTGAAGGCAGAGGAGAGAAGGCAGCACGTGAATCATAAGAGATCATCAAAAACCTTTTGCATCCCAACAAAAAGTGCAACTCTTCAACAGGATCATTTTAGCAATTGCATTTTATACCAGATTTGAGTAGGCAAGTAAGCAAAAGTAATGACTTGACTTGATTTTCTGGATTTTTTTTTTCCAACAGTAACTTGGGACTTGAAGGTTGAGACTTTCTCATGAACCTTGTGCATTTGTGACTTCACTCCCACCTCTGCAATCAAGTACATTTCCAATGAGGGAGATGAATGAATCCATTCGAGAGTGGGTACATGATAAGAAGAACATTTAGACAAACAAAATGAAGCACCACATCGTATTTTAACCTTTACATAAAGTCGGTCAAGGTCACTCACCATCCTTTCGTTGGTACATGATCTCCACCTTGCGTTCCTCTGAGCCCAGGAGGGCCTGTGCTACTTGGGTGATAGCGAAGCGGCTTGTGGACTGACCGTGCAGGAAGTCGCACATGCATGACTTCTGCATGACATCCGGCCTGGAGAAACCGGTCATCTCGCAGAATCCATCGTTGCAGTAGATGATGGCGCAATTTTGCACACAAGCGTTGGCGATAATGAATTTCTTATCTGTCAACAAAAAGTTGAAGTAAATTGTTAGTTTGATGCGTTGTCAAAACAACAGTGTTGTCCAACTCTGAATATGGAGCCCAAGTACCAACGCCTATAGGTTTTGGGATTGAAAATCAATGTTGCCATTGCAGAAAATAATAGTTGTACTGACACTGAAATGGGGACATTTAATTGTAAAATACAATCCAAATAAAATGGTATTCTTACAGTATTTCACTTGTTATGAAGACTTGTAAACTGAAACTTGCATCACACAGCTAACTAGGTGCTATATTAAGTGCACCTGGGTTCAGCTCCCACACCTGGTGGCAATCAGACAAGCCGAAGTTATTCAAGGAGGGCATTTCCTTCACTTTGTTTGGTTGGGTGGCTTCAGGGAGTAAACACTGTCGTTTGTCTCTTTGAATTTGTGTATACCTGTACTGTTGATTTTGGTTTGAAAGAGTTGAATTTGTGTCAAATTAAAGGTCAAGTTTCACCACTGTCTCACCCCTTTTATTGTAACTCCTAACTCCCCCGCAACTCAATTGTTTATCCATCATTTTGGTAGAATCGGTGAGTTGTAGATGTGATGCCCCAAACTAACTTTTAGATGCCGCATGTTTAGCTTTTTTTTTTTTTTTTGTGTGTGTGTTGGAGTTTAGTAATTTCCCAATCAATTATCCCATATGAGAATTTGTTCTTGGGATAGATGTAATGATTAAAAAAATGTTAAACTCATAGACTCGCTTCATAAAGTGAAGTATTTCATGATTGTGTTTCTAATCATTTTGGTCATTATTGTTGAGAGCTAACAAATACACCATTTAAAAATGATATACAGTACAGTATTTCATAAGAACCAATCAAAGTACAGTATGACAGATTTGTATGTAGCCAACACTTGGTTGGAGATCATCTGTAAAACTAGCAATTATAAAACAGTTGTGGTAATAATGATGATGATCACATTCATGTAAGGATGATTATGTATTTCCCAATAAAAAGTGCCAAATCGCAGCAGATCGAAGCTGTCTTAAAAAATAAATGGAAAAAAAATCACTAATACTTGCCAGGCTTACTAATACGGAATGAATCTTTGTACGGGTAGAATTTAAAAGAAATTATAAGATTTTTTTCTTGCACCTGTACCAGAGACAGGAGGTCTCCGTCCTTGGACAAAGAGCAATGAGACTCATGCTTCATGTTATTGTGAAATTAATTTTAGGGGCGCAGCATGCAACACAGCACAGGACACATATGTACTATACTCACTTTGTCCTTCGAATTTACGAATTATTACTCCGAGAAATGTATTATGTGGCGCCACGTGACCCCTCCGGATCGGCATGATTCCCTCTCCCCCCAACCCAAAAAAAAAACAAAAAAACCCCCCCAAAACAAAACAAAAAATCGTTCCTTTTGTCACCAGTCAGTCATGGTGGTCAGAAAATACGCCCCCCCTCCTCCCCCATGACGCACGCTCGACGAGCTTGACTGTTCGCGTACATGCGGGAGCCAAGCACAAGCAAAACGAATCGCTTCTCATTTCCGAGACGCTCTTTTGTGTCGACGCATAAGTGTACATGCAGACACAGAAGCGCGGTGCATTGTTGGTGTCAACGTGTGATTGGGAAGAGAGGATGCGCGGGTGGGGGGTGGGGTGTCAGTGAGGGGGGGGGGTGCTTTGTGGGATAAAAAGTGCTGACGGACGAAGGATAGGCGTATCTTCTGTCAAGATATTTTTAATGGAGATGTGTGCATAGCGTGCTTGACACATATAAATGGATGATTAAGCTTTAATCAACATTTCAGAACGAAGTGAAAGTGTTATTTGTTTTAAACCACTCACTTTTTCAATACATTTTGCTCCATTGCGGATACATTGGTACCTTGACTTCAGGGGCGGAGCTAGGTGGTGGCCAGGGGCGGTCACAACAACCCCCGCTCCCCCCCGGCCTCCAAGGAAAATGCTGATATCTGGGATTTTTATGTCGTTTACACATGGATGCAGAATTCTTAGACCACTAAGATGTGTTCCTGACCAAGGGAGGCAAGTCACTTCCGGGTTGAGTGAACGCTGGCGCGTCTGGCTGCCGCTGCTCACCCGCTATTATTCTTTTTTAGCGTTTGT